GGCATAAGGAAGAATTTCTTTACTGTCCGAGCCCCCAAGGTCTGGAACAGCCTGCCACTGGAGGTGGTTCAAGCGCCTTCATTGAACACCTTCAAGATGAAACTGGATGCTTATCTTGCTGGGATCCTATGACCCCAGCTGACTTCCTGCCCTTTGGGCGGGGGGCTGGACTCGATGATCTTCCGAGGTCCCTTCCAGCCCTGATGTCTATGAAATCTATGAAATCTATGAAAAACCTACTGAGCATGCTCACTTTTTGTCCCCAGCACACATATCCACTTACTAGGACTGTGTGAAACACCATTGATTCATTTCCACATTTGTTTCACTGTTTCGAAGGGACAGTGTTTAGTTTCATCATTTTTTTTCATTTGGGATGACTGTCCCATTTCGTTTCGTCACAATGGTTTTGCTGTTTTAACGCATTTCAAAGTTTCGCCCAAAGGCTGTAATTGGGAATCTTGAAAATGCCTAAAACTTTTTGTCATTTCTTGCCTGATTTGGATTAAAATTGCAGGGATGGTAGCCCCTTCTGAGGGCATGAAGCCTTCCCAACTTCAAGGAGATAGGTGCAGAGGTTTCTGGGAAACTGCACCTCAAACAGTTGAAAGGAAATCTTGTATCACTTGATGGCAGTTGCAGCTTCCTGTCATCCAGTGTGTAGATTTGGGTGCTTGCACCCCCTGGAGGCTGCAGGGCTCTGCTGGACTCTTCCTGGGGGAGCGGGTTCCCAGATCTGTGCGTGGGATGACAGAAGGCTGCCACTGCTGGCTGGCACCAGTGCTGAAGCCAAGCAAACCTGGCTTTGAAACTTGAAATGTTTCAAAACTTTTGAATGTTTTGAGAGCCCCACTTTCATTTTGAAGCCTATTTTTTTTGGTTTTGATTTTGGTTTTTCAAGCTCAAAACACATTGAAACAGGTTCAAAACAAAACACCTGGTGAAATTCCACACATCCCTACTGTGTAGGGTCATGCTGGAAGGGAGGAGCGGAGATAGCTAGCGAGTAGAAGCAGGTCCTTGCTGGCCAAGTGGAGAAACACTGAATGCTTAGCTGGATGGCATTTCTCTGCCTCTCTGTGCCGTGCTAAACCATGAAGACCATGTCCAATCTACTCCAATATACTGGGGAGCCATCCAGGCATCAATGAGATGATCCATAGTGATTCAGATGCCAATCAGGAAAAGAGAACATCAAAATAGCTTGACGCTAGTTTTTCACCCACACGCTCCAGTTCCTGCAGTTTTGAAAAATACTGTGGGCATAGAGGCATTGTGATAGAAGAGATGATTAAGTCAGTCACTGGTTATTCCCACAAGGGTATTTGTATACTGTACTCCAATTGGTGGAAATTAACCATCAAATGGGCCTGCAGCTCAAGACTGAAGGGCTTTGGATGAGTTGGCGTGCAGCTGCTTAGGTCAGGAATTGCTGGAGCTGAAAACCAAGGTCAACATGCAGAACAATGAAAGAAGGCTGTGTGAAGAAGTGAATAAAGACAGAGAACCGAGAGGTAGGGGGAAAATCAGGTAAGCAAGGGGGAAAAAAATGACAACAGGCAATGGCTCTATCAATACTTCAGGTGGGCAATAAAGATCAGGGGAAATGTGGATCTGCTGTCAAATGATGAATATGAGATGAACTAAGAAATGCAAAGGAGGGAATGAGTCATTTCTAGTTTGCTTAAGATCTCTTTCTCTAGATCCCTCTTAAACACATGCATACAAATGCCTCCTCTAAAAACCTTAAAGCAATAAATAACAACATTTTTAGCCACTAGTGCCCCTAGTGGCTAACACCATTTTATTAGAACAAATCATACCTTCTTTGATAGGGTAGCAGGTTTGCTAGCTGAGTATGATGGGAAAAACTTACCTGAATTTACTAGGTTTTGGGAACTAGCGCTATGCCCCTAAATAGGGAGAAACAGGGCTATATTTACAAGTAGACAGTAGAATCACTGCAAACAGAAGTCTTAGTTGGGACCCCGCAAAGGTCTTTTGTGTGCCCGTTGCTATTGAACACCCAGTCTCTTGAATTTCCCTCTCCCATTCTCCTAGCTGGGAACGCTCACCCCTGGAGTCCTCTCTCCACTCTCACACTTTCCCAAGTCCCTTGTACTATGGCCATTCACAGTGTCCTGATACCATCCTTCCCTGAGCTGCAGCTGTCTGTTAACCCCTACAGTCCCGCTCTCCCTGACACATGCACCCAGAATTTTCCCTTCTCCATTCTGTTATCATCAGCCGCAGTAATCCCCACTTTATTTCAATTCCAAACCCCAAAAGCACATTTCCTGTCTGAGAGTCCCAGAGGAGGCCACTTTCCCTGTAATTTCTCTCTCTCTTCTGGTTTCAGGGGCTGCGTTTAATTCCCCATGATCCTCTCCACCCTGTCTGCTTGAGGCCAACTTGTATCTAAGATCCCTCCCCAACCCTGTGAGCAGAAATGCCTGGAGTGGTCAGCACAGAAGGCAAGAAATAGATACGTTGCGACTTACCCTGTCCCCACCAGGACTGGGGTCAGAGAGGAGGGGAGGGGAGGGGAGAGAACGGAAGGGCCTATCAGCAGATTCCCCCCCAAGTGCCTCTTTAAGGGGACATCTGCACAACTCCCACCCAGGAGTTTCATGTGGCTCCTAACTGGCACCTTGGCTAGGATTCCTTTATAGCAGGGGTTTTCAACCTGTTTTAATGCATGTTGCCCTGTTGGCTGGACACAGAGTGGGGGTCAGGGGTGGCATGTGACTGGACGTGGAGCGGTCGGGGGTGGTGCATGGCCAGATGCAGAGCAGGGGGTGTGGTCTGCGGCCGGACATGGAGCTTGCTGCCTTGGGGGTTGTACGATGGGGTGGGTGGGTGAGGGTGGGGAGACACAGGCAGGCAGGGACAAAGCGCCACCACCCAATCCTCCCTTGTCCAGCCCACACTTGCGTACTGTCTAGGCCTTTTCCAAGTACCCCCTGGGGGTATGTGTACCCCCAGCTGACAATGCCTGCTTTATAGGACTAGTGCAGCAACTAGCTATGGAGTTGCCACAGCCTCTTATTACCCCATCACCCCCTTGTGTTCCGGGTGCCGGTACCTGCAAGATGGATCCATAAATCTTAAAGCACTTAGACTCCAAAAAAAGCTACTTTTCCCTTGGCTGGAACTGGAGCTCAGTATTGAAGTCTCCATTGAGCAGCCTGGCTGGCCATATTCAGTGTACAGAAAATCACCCCGGTCATCCTCTAGCACTGTTCTGTCCCTGTCAGCCTTACAAGAAATATTTAAAATTTGTTCATAGCCCTGATCAGGCATTCCCTGGCATGAGCAGATCCAGTAATCAAGTGTGGTTGACCCCGCATTGTGAATGGGATGGCACAGAAGTCTCCCACCATGGTGTCACACAGATTAGTGGCCTTAGCCTTAGCAGGCTCTGTGTTTGTGGTGCATGAGTGTCTGCCCACAGTCCAAGTCCACCAGAACAGCAGCTGAGTGCATCTCTGCTATCACTGTGGTGGTTACTCAAGATGGGAAGAAAGGGTCATTCTGCTCCAGAGTGATGCCTTTCATGTCACATTGTTTTGACAATAACTGAAAATAACCATGGAGGGAGACAGCCCAGGGCAGTGTGACATCTCCGAGGGAGATAGCTGATGGAATTCATGAGAGAAGCAGCAACTCTGAATTACTAACAAAAAAGGTTTATTTAAGAAAAAAGGTTAAATTTATGATAAGGAAGAAAAACCAGAAGATGCCTGGAGAGCCTGAGAAGTACAAAATGAAAGGGCAAGTTACAGCTCCTTCCTTGGTCACATTTAGATATCTTGGCCAGTACAAAAAACCCTGTTCAAAAAGTCAGTCACAATAGTTCCAGGTGGGGTTGCTCCTTTGACTCCTATGGCCCACAATGTATTTTGGATGGAAGGCTCCTAATCATTCAGCATTTAGACTCCCACGGGATATTATCTCAACACAAATCCATTCTTAGAGTGAGGACACAGACAAGACATCTTCAACGTCGTCATAACCCGTGTCTCCAGGAAGAAGGGCTGGGTCATCTTCCAGAGACTCAAAGGTTCCTTCACTTTTAAGCCAAGGCATGCTCCATTCTGAAAAATATCAACAGAAACAAATGGCAGAGAATATGTCTAATATGAGCCCACAAAGATTCACATAACCCATGTGCAGCCTACAGCATGTGCTGCCACTGGTCAACCAATCCTTCTAATTGAGCCCAGACAAGTTTCCATTCTTACTCTCTTTGCCTGCAAGGGCTACACTTACATTCTTTGCAGCACAGATGCTAAGATTCAGCATGAGTATTAGAGCATTTGTGACATCTTTTGGGCAATGCAGGCTACTCTTCTGGGCAATGGAGGATCAGGACTTGATTCCATAGGGAGGAAGAGGGCCTGGAACACAACTCTCAGCGTTAACCTGGGAGTGCTCTAAATAGCAGACAGCTATGAAACAGTTGGGTAGCAGTGGCATTAGGTCCTTGCCTTCCTCAAAACAGGAACTGGGGTTCAGAAGCACACCTAGGCAGGGATAGCTCTAAGGATGGATGTAAGTGAAGAACACCCTTGCTCTCATCGAATCCTGTCAACCTGAGAAATGACTTTGGTGAGGCACCCTTTGGAGGCTCATAATTCTCTTCAGGGACTGTGTAGAAAGCCTAGGCACCGATCCCAGTTCATCTGAATTCCAGGCACCCGGTTATTAATCAAAAAATCATTAAATGGAGCTGTCAAAGGGGATAATTTGGATTTTATATTTATAGTTCTCTCTTATTCCAAGGTTTTACATTGGGAACCTTAAGCCATTCTAGCCTGGAGGCACCCAGGGAGGTAGGTTCTTTTCAGCTGATGGCACAGTGTTTCTCAACATGAATCCTTGGCATCTCTTCACTCCAGGCACCTATTCTTTGCCAGAGTTTCATTCCTTGGGGGTGAGGTGGTCTTTAACAGCTGTCTGTGATTCTATGCACATGGGCAAGATGCTCTGAGGACCTTATGATGCTGATAAAAAGACTGCAACTCACTCCCACATTGTCAAAGGAATTCTGCAAAGAAAGTTGTGGGAGCAGATCGGCTCCTGTGCTGTGATCTGCTGTGTTCAAGAGAGGGGTCAGAAACTAAGGGGTTGGCTTCCTTCTTCTCAGTGATGGGGTCACATTTTCTTCAGACAATGTCTATACCCCTAGGGAGTCATCATGCCAGAAGGAAACTGAAGAGAGGAGGGCTCCCTTCACCATAATATATCTTAAGAGCAAGGATGGTATAGTGGAGGACATTGCAAGTCTCACACAAAGCAGATTCAGAGTTTATTCTCATTTAATTCACAGAACTGTATAATCCATCCCAAGACAATGCCCTGCAGGTTGTAAGGCAGTAGCTTAGCACTTGGAAGAAAAGTTCAAAGGGCTTTTATGACAAGTACCTGCACGCTCCATGTCTGCCTCTCTCAGGATGGCTACTTTAGACTTTTGCATTAAGCTTTTCCACCCTTTGGTTTCTGTATTTGAGCCCTGAAGTTAACCCTGTTTCATGTCCTGAAGCTTCCTACTGCAGTAATAAGGGCTAGAAAACTGGCTGATCTTTAAAGGGAAACAGGATTTTTCTTGTGCTCATCTTCCTTCTTGAGCTGCGGATTTTGAAAGACCTCATGTTGTGAGACAAGTGATAATGTTGTGAGCACTAGAAATACTGCCCTTCCCTCTCACCTGTCTCTGGGTCCCTGTAAGTCTGTATGTTCTCCTCTCTTTCTGCTGGGACACCAGTGAGTCCAGAAACAGGAAAATGTGGAAGATCAGGAACTTCTGCAGCTTCATCATAACCATATTCAGTGACACCTCCAGCCAGGGCAAGGGCCTCTGCAACAGGGAAAGGAATGACTGGACATGAGAGTTTCTCCTACCAAAAAGAGAAATACGTGACCTGAAAGGGACAAGAAGCTGAGAGGTTTCCACTGCCCACAGCCATGAGGCAAGGAGAGACCACAACATCCAACACAAACTCATTGTCACAGGACTGTTGTAGAGGTCAAAGTCAGAAGCACGTTTCAAAGTTTAGATATGCTTTTACACTGTAGGAAGGAGACAAATGCAGCAGTTCAGATGGTGGGTGCAAGGAAGTTGTGGGAGATCAAAAAGAGAAGGTCAAGCCTGAGGATGGAATTATGAGTGTACATTGAGCATAAGTTTATTATTCTTTGTGCATTAACTGCAGCTCACCCTGCCATATAACTGTTCGTTTCAGTGCTTGCATGCACTTTGGGTGATGCTCTCTTATTTCCTGGTCATCTAGGGGCACTTTTACATGTGCTCCAGAGTGGAGCGGGGGAGGCACCTTAATTAGAGTGGCTCCAAGAGCGGCTGTATATAAAGCACAGCTGCATCTTTTACATCAGCATCCCTGCTCTTAAAAATGGCAGTGGGGTGCTTGAACTAAAACGCATTCAACAAGCTTGAGTTCAAGTGTTGCCACTGCCATTTTTGAGCATGGAGTCACTGATGCAGGAGACCCAGGAGGCTTTTGGAGCGCGGTAATTGTCATGCTCCAGCAGACTAGATGAATCACATCTGCAGTCTCTGCACTTGTGTAGAGGTGCCGAAAGTGTCCATTTTTGCTGCCTCTGGGACATTCTGTCACCTATGTACCTAGGGGGATTGTAGTGGTGGGCACACGGACTTGCCCACATGGAAACATAGGTAGTCATGGGGACTTGGCACGTGAACCAAGAGCCATAGTTCTTACTTGCACTGATTATGGACTTGTAAAACAGTCTAAGGATTGAAATGGAGTCATTCAAAACCCAGGACAACCAGACTTTGTGTCAGGCACAGAAAAAGGCTGTATGTGTCCCCCCTTTCCCCACCATAGCTCAGTGGCGAGGACACTCACTAGGGAAGCCAGAGATCTTGGGTTCTAGGCCTTATTCCCCTGTGGGGAAGGAACTAAACCTGCTCAGTCTAAGCCTTTATCTTCTACGGTGCTTCTTTAAAAGCAGCGAGCGCCTGTAGATGTGCAGGGACGCTCCTCCAACATGCTGTAAATAACGGAGTCTGCTGTGTGTGTTCCAGCAGCCCCTGTGTCTCATGGACTCAGTGCCCCTTGCCTCAAAATGGTGGCAGGGGTGCTTTAATTAAAGCTCATCAAACGAGCTTTAGTTAAGCAGCACCAACATCATTCTGAAGTGAAGGATGCTGAATACACAAGACAAAGCACTGTAGCCACTTTAATTAGAGCATCTCCAATAGCCTCTCTAAATAAATTCCCCCCCAGCCCCAGAGCATGTGTAAAGATGCACTGAGTTACTAACATTAGTTGGAGAAAAGGCGTGATGGGCATCACAGGGAGAGGTCTCCCCAGAAGGAATCGTCTGTGGGTGAAGGGAGAAGGGGGACAGGGTAGAATCCAGGTCTTCTGGCAACTCAGATAAATTGTCCAGAAAGAAAAGCGGTCTTTTTGAAACAAATTTTGTTTCCAGTCTCTTCAACTGCATAGTTACTATGGGCACTGCCAGACATGGTGTAAAAAAAAAAAAAAAAAAAAAAAAAAATAGAATAAAATAAAATAAAATAAAATAAAACGTGCTTTACTGGAAAAGCAGCGCATTAGTGTAACCCAGATGTGCAGCATCTGTATAGATCAGGTGCTTCTGCAGATCTTTTTGTGCTTTTATCTAAAATTGATTAAATCAGCTATTAGATAAAACTATCAAAAAAGCCCAACTGAAAAACCTGATCTATAGAGACACTGGGTGAGCCAGGGCCAGCTTAAGTCAATACCTCTTCTGGGCTTGCGCTGGGCTCAGAGTCGGGGCGCGTGGAATTTAAAGTACAGCGCCATGTTGTGTTTTGTTTTTTTTTGTCTGGAAGCAGCCAGTCACCCTCCTTTTTCGGAGTACAATTCCCTTGGGTCCGTAAGTGCCAAAAATGCCCTGTAGGTGACTGAGGAATGAGCCACTTAGATGACCAAGAAAGAACAGAATGTCACCCTTTATCACACTATTAGCCCTTCAGAGAGGAGACATGAGCAGATGCATGCATGCTGCATGTAGTCTGCAGACTACACACTGTCCATACCATACCTAGCATCGTATTCTTGTATTTTGGCCTAAGTCCTGGAAAAGAGCAGGAGGATAGATGTCGCCCTCAGACCTTCTAGCCCCTACAGATGAGCTGTGAGGTTGAGCTCAAAGAAGACCTAGCTTCCTAGTATTTGGCCCACAGAAGATGGTTAGAACTGATTTTCCCCCCACCCTCAGTTTCCAAGGACAGTTGCCAACCACCACTCCACAGGCTAAGCACTACCCAGGCCTTTCCCCAGCACTCCTTTTGAAACTGAATTCCTTCAACTTGCATATAAGAGTCATAGGATAAAATGCAGTGGCATAATTTCTGCCCCACTGGGAGCTAAGGTACAAGCTAGCCCTGAGGTCTGGCACTTTCAAAGTGGCATGCATCTCACCTAACCCTTCTTCTACTATCTTCTCCTGGCCCCATAAGCTTGCCTCTCTTGACTGTCCAGGGGGAAAGCTTCAAAAGGAGGGCCACAGAGATTTTTGGATGATTCCCAAGCTGTGAGCCAGGGGTTAGAGCCTTGCTTCTTAAAATTAAAATGATGCAAATTCAAAGGCCTGAACTCAGGTCCCCCCTCTTCAGATCGAGGATCTAAAGTATTTAGTCGTTGGGCTTAAGATACTGAAGAGCTCTCCTCCTCCCTGAATTTCAACTCCACTACTTCTGGGCTTCAGTATGGCTACCATTTTGTGACCATACGTATACACTGGGTGCGTGTCTATAGCCATGCACCCGATTACTGTTTAGCCCACTGAACATTCCCAATACCTTCTCCTATGCTTATGCATCCAAACTGCGCAAGTGACAGTGGGTAATAACATTCTAGGTCAAAAATACCAAAAAGGCTGGTTTCATAGCTGCAAAACTGCCATTTAGGTGAGCCCAGGAGAGTGGGCTATATACACGTGACTCATTAGCTTGCTCCATTTATCATCTGCTTCCTCAGCTTTCCATCACATCTAAGGAGCTCATTGCATTCCATTCCCCAGGAATCATCTCGTCTGTAAGGCTCCCCAGATGCTCCTGGGAACTCTGGCTCCACATGCAGCCCAATTCCCAGGGTAGTGGGACCTGCTGGTGCCTTACTCCTAGTGTCAGTGACCCAGTCAACTCCTTGTGCCAGTGTACACCCACACACCGCCTGCCCTGCAGTGTTTTTATTCCCCTTTGGGAAAGCTATTTTCTTATGAAAAAATGTCCGCCCTGCAGCCACTTCACTTTTCCACCAGAAATCCCTCCACAGGACATTTTCTGAATGGTCCCAGCACTTGGTGGTTGTGTCCGTGTCAATTCCTACAGCAGCACATGCTTCTCTGCTTCTTGGTCTGCGCCATTCAGCTCAGGAACCTTCCACAGCTAGACCACCACTGGTAGTCATTTCCCATCATTTAGGGCTTGTCTACAGTGTGAAAGGAGAGTGTCCGGGCCCTGCGAGGGCCTCAGCACATCACTAATCTGCTGACCCAACCGAGTTCTCAGGAGACCTGAATTCTCAGCACTGAGGCTGCTCGAGAACCTTCCCCAAGGCCTGCTGAAACCACGGGTTGGACAGCAGATGCGGAGGGATGAGCTTAAAGCTCTCTCATTGACCCATTCCCAGACAGGAGCAGATTTGTGGATGGGGTTCAGCAGGGTGAGACTGGGGGATGATCAGACTGGGGTATGATCAGGCCCTTTGGGGCCAGGGCACATTGGTGGGATAGTACCAAGTTGCTCTCTTAGATACTGGTACACTTGGTTGCATAGTATTACAGACTCAATACTAAAATAAACAAACCTAATTAGCATGCTGCAGCAGATTAGATTAAGTGGTGCTAATTAGCGGGCATTGGAACAGGTGTTGGGCATGTGCATAGGTGCTCCTCCCCTCTGGGGGTGGATTAGCTTCTCACCTTGACTGTCTGGAGGTACATGGGCAGTACTCAATGCAGGCTCCTCCACACTATCGTAATCCAGCTGGAAATCCCCAGGGGAAGCTTCCTCTGCACAAAAGAAATACCACACTCAGCTTTCCTTCCCCAGTGCCCATTTCTCCAGGTGTCCAGTTCCCCAGCAAATGCCTGCTGTCTTGGACATAGGGCTGTTTTCTCTGGCAGTACAAGCAATCTCTCAGAGTGATTCAGGTGGAAAGGGAAGAGTAATGAGTTTTGGTAAAACAGGATTTGGTCCTACTTCAGTTCTTCATGAATACCTAAGCATACAAGCGTGCCCAATTGCATCCCCTACTCCAGGGATAATGTATGTGACTAGGGTGAGGATCTGTGCTGGTGCTGACTAGCATTGGATTCCATCAAAGACTGTAGCGTCAGCACCTGATCCAGCTTTGTCAGAGTGAAACCACACTCTACCGGTTCTGGGTTCAAGTCCTCGTTCAGATTAGTATGCAACCTGGGCTCTGTGCTCATGGCAGGGAGGCAAGTAAGTAAGAGCTTGGCCACTGATCTAGGTTTGCTCAGTGATAGACTTTTCATTGCTCAGCATCTTAATACTTTCACCATTCCCTGCCCAAAACTCGCATGCACGAAGTGTCTGGATCTGACCCCATATTCCCATCAGGATGCTCTCTGAACATCTTGTTAAATCTGACCCATTCCACTGTCTCACATGAGTGCTAAAACAGGAGGAACGTACACAGGAAATGCCCAGGAAACTGATTTTTCCCCTTGGATCTGGGCCTCTATCTCTGGGCTCTGCCTTCCCCCATTACCTTGTGCTGATCCAGGGTCATTTCCCTCCTCGCTGTCCCCAGTGTAATACTGCAGCTTCATCACGGAGTCCTCCGAGTAGGAGACTGGAGGGTGAGAGACAGTGTGTTATCCACATGAACCCTGTTGAACTGACTGGTGGCTAGACACCTGGGGAGGAGGGAGCCCACACAACAGAGAAGTGACGGCAGTGGGAAAACTATTCAGACTGCCCCTGCCCCGTATGCTCCTACAGATGACCTCTTACAGTATCCATGCAGGGCTCTGTTCCTAGATTGCAGCATGGGCAGAGGGAGACAAATGCTGCCTAGAGTTGGGACACGTGGAGTGTCTGCTGGGGAGGAAACTCATTTGCAGAGCTCCTGTAACATCTTGTTCTCACCCCAGGCCCAGTACCTGCAGCCTTCCAGGGCTCAGAGGGCTGCAAAGTGAGGGTATAGTTGTTATGGAGGTGCCCTCTAACATCTTTTACTCGCAAAAGCACATTTACAAATAGCAAGTGTTAAACTTGTGCAAAATAGTTATGGATATAAGTGTGATACGTTGCGGGATACAAAACCCCCCACAAAGAATATACTGAACTTATCAAAGCCACAAACATGTACAAACACCTTTAGACACCTGCTGTGTGTTGGCAACGGGGCACACAGACCTGAGCGACCAAACATCTCCAGCTTCTCCCTCCTCAAGTTATAATCAATCTCCTCATACACAGCATCAGGCAATGGTCCTGAGTATCTTCCGGAGCCTGAAAACAAAAGGCAGGTTTCACATGGGATCATGGCAACAGGAAATGTTAAGAGGTCCTCCAGCCCTTCCCTTTGGAGCTCAGCTGAGCCCTACAGCACAGTTCTGCTGTCTTGTCCAGTCTACAGAAAAATATCCAGCGCGACACTGCCCAAGCCTATTCAACAACTTCCCTCTGGATACTGTTCCAGGACCGCTCCTCTGTCACAAAACATTTTTATATACGCAGCCTACGCCTTCCCTTTCTACTACTTCCATCTTAGTACTCCTGACACTTCCCCAGTTTCATCTATTGGAAACCTGTAAATATATTGACACATGCACATGCAGGCACAATACTTACATTGACTCTGGTTTTCATAGCAAGTTATAACCCCTGACTGAAGTAAGGTAGCAACTGCCACCCAGCACTTGGCCAAGTATAAGGATTTTTTTTTCCTTCTCCACATTTCCTTTTTCCCACTTTGCTTTTTCTTTGCTTCTTTCTCTTTCATTGCAAACTGTTTCCCTCGTATTTCCTTCCTTCATAGAGAATAGCTGGACCAAAACTATGTTAATATTTCCAAACTCTTCCATCTCCTTTGCTATCTTGCTTTGTCCTGACCACCTTTGTGAGGTTTTCTCAGTTCAGCCTTGTCCCTATATTTATGTGTAGCCCTGTTCAATTCTACTGCAAGCTCACTGATGGACGGCTTTATTTCACAGACAAGCTGGATCTCCCTGTGGCAGACTTTCAGCATCCTCCCCTCCTCAGCTATGCCTCCCATTACCCACAAGGCCTAGGTTGCATCACAGCTCTGCCTACACCCCTCCCCTCACTAATTATTTATATCTATTTTTTCTATGCTCAGACCAATGAGTCTCACCTCTGCGCAGTGCCCTTGTGCTTCTCACCTTTCCCCCCAGAATGATCAGGACGAGACAGAGAAGGGCCCCCAGGACAATGCAGATGACAATGGGCACCATGTCTCTCCCACCTGTCAGAGATGGGCGCCGAGGTGTTTCTGGAAAGAAAAGAACATGCAATATGCAGAGACTATTCTATGAAAAGCAGGTGGGCATAGGGGGAGGACATGGACAAGCTTGAGAGAGTCCAGAGAAAAGCCACCCGTATGGTCAGAGTCTTGCACAGCAAGCCATATGAGGAAAGGCTGAGGGATCTGGGACTCTTCAGCCTGAAAAAGTGAAATAAGCTCCCTCTAGAAGTGGTGCAATTGTCCACCCTGGAAATCTTCATGAGGAGACTGGACTGTCACCTTCCTGGGGTCACCTGACACCAGGTGTCTTTCCTGCCTGGTGCAGGGGCTGGACCCGATGATCTTCCGAGATGCCTTCCAGCCTTACAATATAGGACTCTGTAGTCTCTAATTGCACCACGCAAGGCATCAGGGTCAGTGCTGGAACACAGGCAGTTTGTCATGGGCGCAGCCATACCAGGAGCCACTGGACAGGAATGGCTCCTGCTCAGCACCCCCTGCAGCTCCCACCCCAGGTAACATTCTTGGTGGACCCTCACTCCAGGGGGAGAAGCTCATTCTCTCAGGATGAAAACAAAATTGCCTTTATGCCACCAAAATATAAGTTTATGGAAGCAAAAAGGCCAAGCAGATAGATGTCCATACCCTTTGTTGAACCACCTATGCCCAGAAAGTGTGGCTGAGACTGGTGTTATCAATTTGCATAGTTTTATTGTGGCCAATGTCCATTATTTTTATCATGGAATAAATTATGTCAACTATAAGAGAAAGATCAAGGAAAATGTGATGCCTTTACTGAATGGAGGAGGGAACCTAGTGGCGCATGATTCAGAAAAGGCCCTAGTACTCGGTTCCCTTTTTAAACTCAGTCTTCACAGGCAAGATCAGCTCCCAGACTACTGCAATTAGCATCACAGTTTGGGAAGGAGGTCAGCAGCCAACAGTGGTGAAAGAACAGATAAAGCAGCGGTGGGCAATTACTTCAGCTGGAGGGCCACTTGATGAGTTTTAGGGAACAGTGCAGACGAGATGCACTTGAGAGTGCTGAGGGAGTTGGCCAATGTAATTGCAGAGCCACTGGCCATGATCTTTGAAAACTCATGGTGACTGGGAGAG